TCGTCACAAATGAAACTTTAATTTTGAAAATGAATTCGACAAATTGCATCTGAGACCCTCATCAAATATATAGAACATTAATGCGTATAATGAGAGTGATGGAGCAATAAAGAAATTTTATTTTATTTCCTCATATTCATACCTTCTGTTAATTTTTACTTCAAATGCATTCCTTTTTTAATTTTGGTTGTACTTTGGATTGAATCAATTATCGGTTTTATATACAGGACTTTTAACTTTAGCCAGGTTTCACTATCTTGTACGCATCCTTAAAAGAAATTAATATGAAATTTTTTTGATATAATAAATATTATATATGGAAATTAATTAAATTATATATATATATATATATATATATATACCATAAATCACTCTCACTCAGTTATTTATTTCATTTAATTTCCAATTACTTCAATTACAATTTCAGCCAGAATAAAAGCTTCATTTGTAACAGCTTTAGCATTATTTTATAAAACAGTTTTTTAGTACAATTTTTTTAAAAAAAAATGTACTAAAAAAATTATTTTAAAAGATAATAAAAAAGTTATCCCAAATAAATCTAAATCTCTAATAAAACCTTTAAAACTGTTGAAGGAAGTCAGTTACAAGAGTTACAGTGGCAAGACAAAGGCATGAATGAGCAATACCCAAAAGGCTTGTTTGGTAAGTTACAGACTATGCCGAAGCAGCATTTCATCATCGAGCAGATCTTGGAGTCGTCAGGCGAGCAACACTTGCAATTAGAGCAGGTGCGGTAAGGAGCAAAAACGCCGTGGTTGCGTTGCAGGGCAGCAATGGCGTCGCCTTCTATTTGTCGGTATTCGATTGTCGTCGAAGATGGAAGAAAGTAGTCAGCTTTGATTGGGAGGAAGAGGAGGAGGAGGAGAGGAAATGTGAAGATGGTTGAGATGGAGATAGTGGCCATGGTGGGAATTGAATAAGAGGTGATGGGATGAGAGAGAAGGATATAGAGTAGAGAGAAAGAGAAGGTTTAATTACTTAGGCGGTTATAAGTGGGGATATAATGTGTGGTTTAAATTCAAGATCTGACTAAGCAATGTATTAGAATAGAAAAATATTATTTAGGCTTGATTATTTAGGAGGAGAGAGAGGATTTGGTAATTCAGGACGTTATAGGTGAGGAACAAATATGGGGTCAAATACGT